TTGTTATCTAGAGTGGTGAGATCACATCAAGATCACATCATGGATTGCTATGGGTTGTAACTAAGTTTCATAGGTACTTGTCAGAGAACAAGTATTGAATAGACCCACATCAAGATCACCTCATGGATCACTATCATGAATGATACTTGATTAAAAGGTACTATCTTTGTATCCTTAACACCTAAGATAAATAGTGGGACTTAAGTGTAGGGAGTGTTGTACTTTGATACGGTCAAATGTTGATCCTTAACCGAACAGTTATAAAAGCCATTTTCAGGTATGGTGTGAGCCATGTAAGAGGCTTATGTAGTAAAGATGGGATTTGTTCCTCTTATGTGTTTAGAGTTAGACATCTAAGGCGCCTTACCAAAAGTTGAACACTTAATGAGATTGATCGTGATCTGTATCTCATGTTCAACATGATGTATGTGACAAAAGGATAACTGATAAACTTAGCTTATACACCAATTGTAGCTTTGAGCTTCTGGGGAATTGGATGTTGATAGAATGACACAAAGTCGTATGTTGTTAGGGGTAGTGAAATGTTTCTAGACGTTCACCACTGTCTATATCAATCTAATATGAGTCTTGCGCAAGTGAGAGATTGAAAGATCTTGTATGCTCAATAGTCATATTAAAATGATATTCTTATTAACATATGATACTAATGGGTCACACTAACAACAACTTGATACAATTGATTATTTATTTAAAATTTATTTTAATAAATATTCAATAAAATCTTATAATTAATTGAAAATTATTTATTTCTTGGAAATAATAATTTTCATTAGCAAGTAACATAATATATCATATGGTATGATTTATTAATTCATGTATATTATTTTGGACTAGAAATACTTTTGTCTTTTAGCCAAAATCCAAAGTTTATATCTTATAAAAGAAGTTTACAAAATTTATAAACTTTTTGTCTTATTTTTTATATTTATAAGAAAGAATAAAAGAAGCGTGGCCTTTTGATTTGTTTAATCAAAAGCTTGGCTAGTTCTTAAAGGCACGGGGGACAAGTTCCTTTTATGAAATGAGTGCTTAATTGGTTAAGGACTCATTTGTATTGTTTTAGCTTTAAGAGAGTGCGTGAAAGGCTTTCATTTTTTACTTTTTTTACCAGCCAAAACTGTGAGTATGCTTGGCATATTCACTCTCTCTTGTTTTTGCTTTTACACTTGAAATAAAACTTGCGTTTTTCTCTCTCTAAGTTCATACTTTAGTTATGAACTTAAAGCTTAAGAACTTAAGAGTTTAAAGACTAGCATCATCATCAAGTTGGATTATTGTTGGTGTCTTAAAGGTTCATATATTCTTCGTCAACTTCCAAGCATCCCCTTAAGGATTCAATGTCTACAAAGGTTGTTATACTCTTCTTCCTCTTTGGTTGTTGTTTTCTTTCCAAATTATAAACTAGTTTTATGTTGTTCAAAATATTAAAGTCTTCCGTTGCTAAATCTTGTGTTTTTGAAACTATTTTTGAATAAACCCCAACAATTAGTATCAAAGCCACCTTGCAATTTTGGTTAGATTTTTTTTGTGTAAATCTTAGTTTTTGGAGAATATGGATAACTTGTTTTTATATAAAAATAAGTTCATACATATTTTCTTTGATAGCTTTTTAATTGTTGTTTTTGTGACAAAAACGTACATGCATTTTTTGTCACTTAATGTTGTCTTAGAAAAACAAAGGTTGTTTTATGTTTATATGTATTTTTAGAGTATAAACAAGTCGTGAACCTTTTTGTTGTTGTTGTTGGTTGATTTATTAAAATTGTTTGTAATATTATTTTATTCATAAAGTATGTAATAAAAAGTAGTTGGTTTTTCATCTTTGTTATTTTATATAATAGATTAGTTTTAGACTAGATTTATTTTATAAATATGTAACAAGATGAAGATGAAGACCATTTTTGAAGATCAAGAGGATGCCCATGGTTTTATAGAATTTTTATAAAAGTTTATAACTTTTATAAAAGTTTTATAAAATTGCAAAAAAAAGTATATTGTTAATGCAAGTGAGAGCTTCAAGTCAACATGAATAACAACTTGAAGATTTTGGTCCATTTGGTCCCTTGGGAAAGGACTTGAAACTTTTATGTTAGCTCATAAAAGTGTCACTAGAAATTGACTTGTTTTACAATATAATGCATGTTTGTGTTGTTTATTATTATGCAAATATTTTGTGTGGTTGACAAATTAGATTTTCACAAGCTCAAAATATTTTTTGGACAAAATAAACATCACATGGAGTTTGGTTTTCAATTTTCAAAATGAGAACATTAGAGGATACAAGTTATAACTTTAAAACAAAAACTGGTTTTATTAAAACGTTAATAATGGCAAATTTTGAAATTGTAAAATTATAAGTCTAAAATGGTTTTGCAACTTGGATCCTAGACTTTGATAAGTAATGTTTTTGGAAACTAAAAGGGTATTAATTATTAAAGAGTTTAAATATTGAAAATACTAAACGATTTTTGTTAAAATTTTGTAGACAAATAATTCATTCTCATTACCATGATTTGTCATTTTCTTTAATGACTTAAATTACATTCACTAGATACAACTTCAATGAATGGGTTCATGTCTTAAGAGACAATCTCGTGAGAGATATGAAATTGTATACTCTTAAAAGTCCTAGTCTTAAACTATTTGCTTTGAGCAACTGACTTGCACATGACACTTGGTAAATGCATCATTGTGATGTTGAAGATGTTTCTAACATCAAACTAGGAATAGTTATTCCTGAATTCCAGGAAATCTTGAATAATTTAGATATATATATATATATATATATATATATATATATATATATATATATATATATATCTGATGATATAACAGGTTAAGCTATATTCCAATAAATACAATGATATTTTGTTTTAAACTAGTTCAAACATTGGAATACTGCAAGGCCAAAATAGTCACCTTGTGTGATCTAAGAGACCCATGTTTTATGAACTGAACACCATTAAACCCAAGAAACCCAATAGGCCCACATAGATGGATCTTGTTTCTTTTGTGGAGAAACTCGACACTGGAAAAGGATTTGCGCCTCTTATCTGGAAAGGAAGTCTGGAAGAGACTAGTACTCCAGGTATCTACTAGATAGAACTTATACTTTTCATATAACACTTAGGTACTTGGTACTTAAATGTTAATCTAATATTTATAAATGGCTTGCAGATATTTACAGAAGAGTAACTAGTTGATCCCAATCAAATTGGAACTACACTCTCAGAGTTTAGTTTATTAATTATGATAGGAACATAATGTACTTGTAATATAAAACAATGTTTGTTTTGGAACAATGTATGTTTTAATTTAGCTTGTCTAAATATATGTCTCAATTATTTTAATTTATGAATGGTTGACTATTTACTTAAATCATTTTTCATAACGATCACTTCATATTCGGAAATGATTAAAATTCTGATTATGAGACTAGATCTCTTAATAAGAATTATAAAGTAAATATCAATGTTTTATAGATAACAAGTTATATATGAAAAGTACCTTTTGACTTAAACTTGTTTTGAATCAAACTCATCTGTTATCTTTATTTTATAAATGACATTCACATATTCCAACTTTAAGAAATAGATCTTTGAATGCAAATAATGTAGCTTATTTGACATATGTGAAATCTATTTATATACAAAAAATTCTTAATAATATTTTCACTAAGTAGTAGAGAAAATAAATTACGAAACTATACACTGTGATGTAATACTTCCTTTCTAATGAATGTCTAAGATTAAACATAAGATACTAAATCAACTTTATTAACAACTATAGTGGTTATAGTTATATTTTACATGGTAAAACATAATTATGAAATCTTTGTTGAAGCTTTCAAATAGAAAGTTGAGATACAAACCGGTAGGAGCTATCTAAAGCCTTAATGATAATAAAGGATGAATTAAATCTTACATGGTATGATTTACTTTCTAATCGGTAGAAATGTCCTCTTTTTATTTCCTTGGAATAACACCTAGATCACTATCAATTGTACCTTGAGTACAAATACCAACTAATAAGTAGATAAAACATTTTCTCTATAAGATTTTGTTTGGAAAGGCTCCATCCCTATCTTATGCAAATGTTTTGTGGTTTCAAAGCTTATGTTGGACTAAATCTTTTAAACCCAAAATCTACTAGATACATATTTATATAATACTCTAAATGTGGCTTAGATTATTGTATGCAAACCTGCCAAGAATAAGTTCTCTTATTCTTGTGAAAGCTGAGTTAGCAGAAAGCAAGATTCTAATGACAAGACAAGTGGGAGGTACATGGAATGACAGTTAATAAAAATTAATGACAGTCTTTATCGAATGTTGGTTTGTATATCAAAGATCATGTTTTCCACATGGGTAATTATATGTTGCCTTATCTAAAGTTCAAAGTAAAAAATGATTAAAATTGTTAATTTTTTATAAGGATGACAGCCTTACAAACAAAAATTCTAATGTTGTGTATACCAAAGTTTTTAGAAATTTATAAACAGTTTGTAGTTTTTAATTTGTAATTTATTGTGTTGTGTTTATTTATTTTTATCATATTTAATTATATTTAATTTTTCATATATCAATGTCAATTCCATGATTGATTGTGTTTTTTTACACTCTATTTAAATTTATATTATGTTCTATAAATCATAATTATATTAAATGTCTTCACATGCATAACATATAGCGGATATTCAAATAAAAATATATATTAATTTCTGTTTAACTAATCAATATAAAAATCTAAACAAAACTTATATCTTATTAGTTTAATAAAATTTTATTAATTTTTCATCTGTAGTTTCCACACCTAGTTTATTAATATATAAAAATTCTTTTACTTGGATCTCTCTTTTAGTAATGTTTCTATCAAATTTCGAAGGGTTATAATTTTGTTAAAAATTTTCATCCGTTAAAGGGTTATTGTTACGTTGAAGTTTTATATAGTTATTTTGATCCATTAAAGAGAATTATAAGTAGCGTGAATAGAAATATAATCGACATAAGATTGTTTGACATACATATAACAAGTATAATAGAGGTTAACATATTCGGAATCCTTCCGTGGGTCTACATTTAGTTTACAGTCTCCGTATACATTATGCCCATCCTCTTGTATGGGTGTACATATATAATAGGGCAATCAATGTCTTGATGAAATGTGAGAGTAGAATGGTGTGTGTTTATCTATATTTGGTTCATTCATATATCCGTTTCCTCTTTAAGAGTGTTGGCAGTATGGAGATGGATCCAATGAGGAAAAGTACAGTTAATGTCTTCAAATCATATAGATCTTTAACAGACTTCAGATCTCCAAGAGCAAGCCCAGCCTGTAACACAAAAGCAAATAGGAAAAAAGACATAAATACCCCCCTTCTAGAAATTTAAAAAAAAAAAAAAAAAAAAAAAGGCTTGTCAATGGAAACATACATACCCTGACGGTAATATAAGAGGCTGGGATGATGCCGACAACTGTAGCCAAAAAGAAGACATGAAATGGAATATCCACAATTGGAGATGCCAAATTAATGAAAAGGTTTGGTAAGGTTGGAGTTATCCTTAGAAATAGCATATAATTTAGCAGCTTGTCTCCACGCTTTGCTATCTGAGATGAGAATAACAACAATCCAATCAAATAGAAAGAAATGAAAAAAAAATATGCTACAATAAACAAATCAATGGGAAAAATATAACTGCTAAATGCAAGAAATAGCAATGCACTTTCATTTCTTTCTATTACTATAGTATTTTTTTTTTCCTTCTTATTAAGGTATTGTATCTAGAAGACACTGCTAGCCTATAATTGGGTATATTTATAAAAAAATACAGTGTTACTTTACTTGTAATGGGAGGAAATGAAGTGAGATGCTATAACAAACAAACAAATCAATGTAAGTATGTTGCTATTTCTTGCATTTAACCCTGAATATAATCCTATAAAAAACAAAGGATGTGCGTAGGTATATATACCTCTGTCTGAAAGAATTTTAACTTTTCTGGCCATAGCCAGGAGACTATGGGTCTTCCAATTAACTTTGACAGAAAATAGCAGGATGATGCACCAGCAGTGGCATTAAAGACAACCAAGAAGATGCCTTTTACACCAAAAAGGGCTCCAGCAAGTAACGACATGAAAATGGTTCCAGGAATCATAAATGTTTGCATGAATATGTAAGTTGAGCAGTAGCCCAGAATGAACTTTGTTGGGTAAATGTTCGCATATATTCCAAGCTCATCTCTGTTTTTTTTTTTTTTTTTTATAAAACAAAAAAAGGAATTTAAACCAATCCGAAACATGTAAATGGATGATAAGTTCTTTTTTACTTAATGGGTACATGATTTAATCTAGGAAGTCATACTCATACATTGGTTTTTCTTTTCGACTTGATGCATAAAGAACCTAGCTTCTTTATAAATTTTCCCACATTTACTTTTTCCTTTCATTTCCCCAATTGTGTTGTCAGTCTCTCAACAAGCAAACCAGGATGAGGCATCCCATTCCCAACCACTCGCAATTCTTCTTCCAAACTCTTTCCACATTTTGGATTTGCATTGTGTATTTTGTGAGTTGCTATGGCCTCTAGCCTAAATTTTGTACACAACGGTGATTCTTCTTAAGCAACCTATTTAACACATGGCAGGATTCATTCATTGTCATAATCCATCTAACTTCCCTATATGTTGTGTGGAGTCCTTGATTTTCTCTCCAAAACCTTGAGAAGAGAGGGGAGACTCTAAAACATATATAGATGTGGATAGGACCGTGTCTAGCTGATGTAGGACTCCAACAATATGCAAATGAAATTCCCACCCAAACTATTTAAGTTACCTAGCCACACAATGTATGTTATATAGTATATTGTTGAACTTACCCTGAACTACATGTAAATTTTGGTAAGACGTCACATAATAAGTATATAACTCGAATGCAACTCCTTAAAGCAGATAACAGCCCTAGCTTTGAGCAAAGAAACATTATAAAATTTGAACAGTTTACTAATAGATTAGAAATGAGAGACACTAAGAAGTACTATACCAAAAGAATTGCTGTTTACCTACAGGCTCATCAGTTTTCAAAAATCAATAAAAGACATATAAACTCCTATAGTAAAGGAAAAATAATGCGAGTTCTGGTACCTACTTGAGCATTCTCAGATCCGATATGGAGCGAGGCAGCTTAAGTTTGCCATACTCAGCAGCTGGCATTGTGAGATAAATGCAGAACAACCCAGTGGAAAACACCAAGAAAACACTAAAGGCCACCGTAAATTCCCATCCAGTCAGCGGAAACCTCCCGTCTAATTTGGCACCTATAGGCTTCTTACTCGTAGGGGAATCTTCGGCAGTCTCTTCATCCTTCATCAACTTTCCAGTCTCCACGACGATATTCCTCGGCGCCGCCATCAATAAGAAAACGCGTTGACACCACAGACAACAACAAAACCCTCAAGCTCCACCATGAGATGCTGAAGACGAAGTAGTTGATGCCATCAAGGGAGCAATATTTGCTTAAATTATCTCGATTAACCAGGTTTTGTGGTGTTTAGCTTGAGCTTGAGCTCGAACACGGAACTTCAATTAGATCTACAAAATTGAAGGCTCAAGAATTGCAGATCGATTGAGGTAGTTTTTAATTAGATTTTAGTCAACTGGATGAGCCCTAAAATGGAAGTTAGTTTCAGATGAATCGAATTGGGAGAGATTTAGTCGTCAATGGTGGGCGGAAAAGGCAATGAAGTGACGACGCTGAAATCAAATAAGACGCGTCTAATCGTCTATTGCTTTTAGGAGGAGTGAAAACGTTTTCAAGGATATATACGGCAGGAAAGCAAAAACCAAACATATTTGCTTTGAACTTAAGAAGACGTATTGACGTGTCTATAGTCTATATACGTTCAACCACAATGCGGTTTATTTGGGTAGTTTATTATTTTGACTAATGGTAACTAGTGTGGGTTCAATACTAATTTCAAACTTTTACAAATCTCTGTAAAGACAGGAAATCAAGGGAAAAAAATTGCAGATCTGTAAGCTAACTTTCATAGCATTGAGTGATTGTGTGATTCAGACAGAAGTAGTTGTGACGGTGACTGAAAGGTGAATTGCGATTCGCATGCTATGTTGTTGGTAGTTTGTTCCTTCATTTTGAGCGGTTGTAATAGGTTTTGATAGTCGATTGTGAGGTTGTTCTTGATAGTTTCTTGTTGTTTGATAAGAGTTTGAAATGAGGAAAGTCTAGGATATGTATGTTGTGCGTATGATTGGTTTATAGTGCTAGCTTAGTGACTTAGAGGAATCAGGACGGTTCTTGAGGAAAGTACATATAGGTGTGAAATGTAGTATTGGGCCTGTACTACTGGAAGCACAAGATTTTTACCCGAGACAAGGACGAACCTGGGGATTCTAAGGAGACCTGTGTATTGGTAATTCCCTCGAGTTTATGTTGATGGTTTATATGTTTATATTTCAGTTTGAGTATGATGGTCACTCGAGGAGGATGTTAAAAAAGAACAACACAGATTTTCCCAACATCTTCATTTCTTATATCGATTGATGATTAAGAAACAGAAGGTTTTAAAGAACTTACAAATCAACCTCACTACAAAAAACCTAGTCTACTCTCATTACAAATCACACCTCCTAATCTATCACAACCAGAAATCTGAACTATATTCAATCTACAAGAGTTATAGATGAATCAACGAAGAAGAAGTGAAGTGAGGATGAAAACCCTAGCAGAGAGACTCTCTATTTTGATCTGAAAGTAAAAATGACTGAAAAATATGAATATCTTCTCGTCACCTACTTCTCTTTATACCTCAGTACACGAATACAATCCAACCCGAACCATAACCGAAGTCTTTAACCCGCGTGACATTTTGTGACATTTTCCTGCAATTACATTTTATACCCAAATATATACAAAACTAAACACACAACATCCTTCTCATCAACTTCATTTGTTTATTATATTTAAAGAATAAATATAAGATTGCAAATGTTTATTATTTTAACATCCCCCCTCAATCGAAATATTTATTACTTTTTAAAAACATCAACAAGACCCATCTTATTAGACAAAAAACTATGTTGCTTTTCACCCAAAGACTTAGTAAGAATATCAGCATTTTGATCAGATGAATCAATCTTAACCAATTTCAATTAGGGGTGAGCATTTGGACCGAACCGGACCGGACCGGACCGGACCGGCTCTTGGATCGACCGGTTATGGAGAATATTGTGGACCGTGGACCGGACCGGATGAGTCATGTCCGTGTCCGTGTCCGAGTCCGGGTCCAGGTCCGGGTTTTCCGATTCTTGGACCCGTTTAGACAGGTACAACTTTAATTGCATAGAGTACAAGTCGTTAAAATAAGTTTTTGGGTTTGATAGAACTCGTTAAAAAGAATACGTTATTGGGTTTGATACGATACAACTTGTAAAAATGATTACCTTTTCGTTTCATGCATAACTAAT